AAAGGGACGCAAAACTTAAAATAGCAAGTCAGTCAAATAGTGGAGTGACTGTAACACCACTCACACCGTACAACTCAATGCATACAGGATTGTATTTTTTTTGGCCGCGACAATTAACACCCCATAAATTAAGGATGCTACCTCACAAAAAACGAACAATCAAGATCGGCATAAGTGTTAAAATAGTTACATAAAGAGTTACTTAACTTAATGTTCGACATCTTTGAAGTTGGAGAACACGTAACGCTTATGTCCGAATACGGCACCTGAAAGATGCTCATGGTTTCTTTGAATTCTCCGCCCTCGAAACAGTACTCGATGCGAACTGTTAGCAATCTTGCTCTGGTGCCGGATATGTTACCAACGATGCTGCATAGTAAATACAATTAATAGTGCCCTCTGTTTCTTCTCGGCTTCAGAGTGTTTCTTGCCAGCTTTTTTACCGCCCAAAACATAGGCCGAAATGTATGTCTTGTATGTTTGACATCTCGTCTAAGGTCTTCCCAATCAGCTAACCGAAGTGAACGTTGTCGTGCATTCCCGAGACTACGGGATCTGCTAGTTCCATCAACCGTCCTTTCTACTTGCACTTGAAAAAACATGGTCGTGATGTTAAAGGTTTACTGCTGGGTTGATAGTGCCGCACTGCCTGATTCATGATGATTCACACGGGAAGCACAGGAATGAACAAAGTGTGAATAAAAAAGAAAACCGCCGAAAACTGCACTGTAGCGAGACTGGCCTAGATTGACAGTCAACCTTCTGTCCTCCACTTAAATACCCCTTGTCACATGACTCCACATACCATACCCGTCTGTTTGCCATCACGAACAGACAATAGTTAACCGCTATACTGCGAAACGCGGTTAACAATATGTAGTATGAATTGATACGTAAACTGACTACTGCCCTCATTATACCATGTGATACTGAGTACGTATGTAAAGTCTAGTCGTATGGATTGATACGTAAACTGACTACTGCCCTCAATATACCATGTTATACTGAGTACGTATGTAAAATCTAGTAGTATGGATTGATACGTAAACTGACTACTGCCCTCAATATACCATGCGATACTGAGTTCGTATGTAAAGTCTATTAGTATGGATTGATACGTAAACTGACTACTGCCCTCAATATACTATGTAATACTGAGTACGTATGTAAAGTCTATTAGTATGGATTGATACGTAAACTGACGACTGCCCTCAATATACCATACGATACTGAGTACGTATGTAAAGTCTATTAGTATGGATTGATACGTAAACTGACTACTGTCCTCAATATACCATGCGATACTGAGTACGTATGTAAAGACTAGTAGTATGGATTGATACGTAAACTGACTACTGCCCTCATTATACCATGTGATACTGAGTACGTATGTAAAGTCTAGTCGTATGGATTGATACGTAAACGGACTACTGCCCTCAATATACCATGTTATACTGAGTACGTATGTAAAATCTAGTAGTATGGATTGATACGTAAACGGACTACTACTCTCAATATACTATACATACTTTATGTCCATATTCAGTTACTGTTAAGTATGCAGTTTCAAGAATTGCCATACCACTTGAAATACTAAAATATATTTCGAAACTTTATACTAAAATAAAGTTTTGTGGGGCTGATAAACTGTACATGTTTACACAGTATTACACATATGCCAGAATCGTTTCAAAGTTATCAATACTGTTTAGTCACATGACAAAACCAAACAAATTTAATCATAACTGAAATTCAAATATGCTTTAGTTTTCGTGACTAACACTATTATATGTGAAGAATAATATTGAACTACATGATTTAGAAGGGATATTTGATGTTGAAAATAAAGGGTGAAATTGATGCAATTATAATTTATGTCTTTTATCGCATGTATTACAAGTTTAATTTTGCAATTTTGCTGTTACATATATATGATTGGCTGAAAATGAGTCTGCGCACTAGACTCAAACAAGTGTTATAAAAAGCTAATCAGGCGTGCCGTAACAGCGAGTATTTCCTTGAGTTACCCAGAATTCTGTGCGAATCCCCCTTTATTCTGGCTGCTGGCAATTTTCGTGAAACCGTCGGATATCATCGGAAAACGCGGGATTTGTGCAGTTTTGATTAAAATCAAGTTAGCTATTATGAACAATGGTAAGCTGTGAGAGAAGTGTCTGGCTATAACGCCCTCTCGCATTTAAGGGGAATCATCCATATTTGGAATTCAGAGCGTGGTAGAATTGGTCTATTATGTACTGATGTCCTGAACCACTGATTTGGCAGGCATGTGATACATATAATGTAGCAAGCTGTTTCAATTGCTGTTGAGTTTCGAAATTATCCTATTTGACAATAGCTGTATTCTTGTAAATTTAATTTCAATATTCATGGAAGGATATTGTCCTATTTAAGAACGCATCGCGTGAATAAAATAGACACTAAACTATACACTCTTGACTCACATCCGAAAACAAATCTACTACACAATTTAATTTACTTGCCTTATATATAACCCTTGGAAACTTTCGGCAGAATGCAATGACCAGGGGTGGTTAACATTTAGTAACTAACGAGGCATGCTGATTTGTTTATAATATTTTTTAGTAATTATAGACAACTGCGCTGTCCATCGTTGCATTTTTAGAAATACACTCCATGTTATCAAACTGAAAGACAGCATATTCTATCCACCAAAAAGTAAAACAAAACATTTTGCATTGATGAGTTCTGAAAACACGATAATCATAGTCGTTTTTGCATTTTCCGACGCTGGTTTGATGTGTATTACAGCATGTTCTTAGGTTTAATTTATTCATACTATTGCCCAGTTTGTAGTATCCGCACAAAAGGCAAAACTCTGCGTTATCACGCTCTATATAATAAGTATGTTATTAATTTCGTTTCGTTCTCTACAGTTTTCTATGCAGTAAAAATATTCCCCCTTATTTTCAATGTTTTATAATCCCTGTTTCCGACCCATAATGTTAAATGC